TTTTTTTTTTTTTTCCCTCATACTCTCCTTCATCATGTATCTTTATTTTTATAGGGACATATCGACTTTAATGGGCTACCATAATTTAAAATTAACATGAAGAGGAATGAGTTCAGTTACCAGCCAACAGCTTGCCCTAACTTCCAGTCACTGTCACAGTTTCATGATTCACAGTCACTTAGACTCTCGTGCTTTGAATTGATTTTGGCTCCGTTTTTTTTTTTTAAACACCATAATGAAGTCCCTCATCAATTCCTACCCACTTTTTCCTTTCTATTCTGCCTCTTCTCTGTTTCTATTTCACTTACTACTTCTCTGAAAATTATTGTAACTGATTAATCCCTACCAGATTTTTCAAGTACACAAGAATTTACATTGGTTTTTCCTCTTGCCGCCATCTAGATGTCAGAAGACCTTATCCTATTCCCTCACTGGCTAGCCAGAGTCCTCCATTTCAGTGGCCCATCTCTGTCCACCTTCCCCAGAGAGTGCCCTAATCCAGCTCATTTTATTATTTTTCTTATGACCCATGTCTTTAGGGCCTTCCTGTTCCCTAGATGAGAGATAGCTAACTTTCAAATCTATGTCATGCTCATGACTATTATATTAATTAGGGTAAAGGTAATATACTATAATGAAGAGAAAATATCCAGTGGGTAAGAGAAAATAGAAATGTATTTCTTCCTGATGAAACTGATTGATGGTGACAGGGTTGTTCTGCTCATGAGTTCATTCAGAGACCCATGACCTTCCATCATGAGACTCTGTCATGCCCTAGCTTAGGACATTGGTTCAAGTTCAGTCTCCACCATGTCTCTTTTCTAACCCTCAGGAAGAAGGAAAAGAAAGTCAAAGGCAAGCAATTTGTTTTTAAGGAAGTGTCTTAGTTATCTAGTGCTCCTAATACAGAAATACCACAAGTGGATGGCTTTAACAAAGAGAAATTTATTCTATCACAGCCTAGTAAACTAGAAGTCTGAATTCAGGGTGCCAGCACAGGGGAAGCTTTCTCTCTTCTGCTGGCTCTGGAGGAAGGTTCTTGTCATCAATCTTCCCCTGGTCTGGGAGCTTTCCATCTCCCTCCTGTCTCTTCTTCGTTGGAGGTCCCCATGTCTCTGCTAGCTTTTCTTTTATATCTCAACGGAGATTGATTTAAGACACAAGGTACTCTTTTACACTGAGTCCTGCCTCATTAGCATAACTGCCACTAATCCCGGCTCATTAACATCATAGAGGTAGGATTTACAACACATAGGAAAATCACATCAGATGACAGAATGGTGGACAATCACACAATACTGGGAATCATGGCCTAGTCAAGGTAACAACATATTTTCTTGGGGGGGCACAATTCAATCCATAACAGGAAGTGATATAGAAGTTGGCAAATCTCTCCTCTTACATTGCATTGGTGATGGCCACACCTAGCTGTGAGAAGGCTGAGGAGTATCCTCTCTTGCTAAGCATGCTCATTCCTAGGAGGAACAAAAGATTAGATTTGAGAGCCAGAGCTACCGCTGTGTTGCATGTTACCATTGCTTAGTAATACAGTTTTGCATGTTAACAAGGGCCTTCTGAAGATGGTAGCTTAAACCAAAAGAGTGACTTCTGAGGCAGAAATTTCAGACCTTGTGACATGCCAGCAGAGAAGTATTAGAAGAAAGGCTTATCTGCATAGGTCACATCCTGTCTCACTTACACAAAAGGCCCTATCTGGATTTGTGCATCACCCGTACTTTGTCTCCACTCTAGGTCATCCCCTGCCTGGTTGCAAGAATAATCACATTCAAATACAATTTATATCATGTGCTATGTATACCTGAAGTATTTATTTATATTGTGTCTGAACTCTTTAACGTAGAATTCAAAATTCAATCTAATCTTGATGTTAAATGAGTGAGTGATGACTATTCTAATCCCCCAAACTGATTTGCATAAAGCTTGTCTACTCCTCTCCTTTCATTAGAC